CCACCCAAGTCCACACAGCCTAGAAAAGGGGGAGGAAGGGGGGGGGCTATCGCCCATGTTCGGGATAACTCGATGGGATTTATAGAGACTCATATAGACGGGTATGTGATTTGGCAGGGCATTGGCGGGTTTTTTTTGTTGTTGGATGGTCAAGGCCTTAACCTGGTCTTGCGGGGTATCCATGCCATCGACGCAGCCATGATAAAATATCACCGCGGACTCTTTACTTTCTTTTACCCCTTCCTCCTGCTTTGGTAAAATTGGAATATACTTTTAGTGTGCAATTAAGGGGGGGGAGGGGGGGGAGGTGCTATGTGGCTTGATTATTTGAAACATGACATGATACAACAAGTGAAGATTAGTTTTCTTCCTTAAATATATTCTTTGTTTCTTTATTCATTTTTACCTTTGATGATTCATCAATATTAAAAATAAAACGTTCTTGCACATGCATTCTTTATGATTATATAAATCCTGAAGTAGAGCGTGAGTGTTTCGTTATTAGTTCATAAAGACTAGAATTCTACTTTTAGTCAGTTTCATCCCAGGGAGGTGTGTATTCTCTAGGAAATAAATGCTTATCTCCCATATGTACATGAAGGTTATGGGTGCATAATCAAAAAGTGTCTTGGTCAAGACAGAGACTGACTAACACTTTATTTGCTTACAGAAAAAAAAATTATGTTAGCGCAGCATGTGTTGTTATTTTAACCCTAACTTTTGGTAAACCAAGCTAAATGTAAAGCGCTTGTCACGACTGAATTATACTTTCTTATTAGTTGCTATATATTTTTTTATTATTATTATTAAATCTTTCGAATTTAAAGGAACTTGAATCTGTAAAAGAAAGTAAATAGAAACAGGATACTAATTATCCAGAATCAAAAAAGTTATTGAACTTCTTATACGTCTTTTTTTTACTCCAACTGTTTGCTTTTTTGATATTATATAGATCTATTCGTAAGTACTTTGGAAGTGTTGAAGAAAAAAATCCGAGTAATATGAAGACAACGGTGCTGTGTAAGTCGTCCTGGGCTGTAGTCCTGGAAAACAAAGCCATAAAAAGCCTTTATCGAACACCCTACACTCTACCCTCCCTCAAGCCTTTCCCTAAGGACTCGCACTGTAAGGCCGTAATGCCTGCGATTTGCAAGTTGGTGAGTCCTTGCTCGCGAAGGTCATGGATGGCAGCGGGGCCTACGGCATTGTGGGCTAAGGCTCGGGCACTGAACTGCGGCTTTCGGCGGCATCTAGCGGCCGCCTTAGCGCCCGCATCCCCCCAACACGCGCAGCGGCGGTGGTATTTACCACCTGTCAACAAAAACCCCGAGGAGTTCTCGCCGTATGTGGAGATCGACCTACCGACCGACACCCGCATCGATACGATTCGCCGAAGCGGGATAGCCGATCAAGATTGGATCGTCACGGAGAAAGTCCACGGCACGAACTTCGGCATTTACCTTATCGACGAAACAACAATGCGTTTTGCCAAGCGCAGCGGGATTATGGACCCGAACGAAAACTTCTTCGGCTACCACACCCTTATCGATGAAATGACAACGCAAATTCGCATGTTAGCGGCGTTAATCAAGCAGAAGTACGGTATTGGGCGTATCGGACGTCTGATCATGAATGGGGAACTCTTTGGTGCGCGATACAAGCACCCGCTGGTGCCTAAGAGCACAAAGTGGTGTACCATGCCAAACGGCAAACGGTTCCCCATCTCCGGGGTGGAAATCCAGCGCGAGCCCTTTCCCCAATACAGCCCCGAGCTGCATTTTTACACTTTTGACGTCAAGTACTCCGTTTCGGGTGCGGAGCAGGATTTTGTACTGCTGGGGTATGACGACTTCATTGAGCTTTGTGCACGGGTGCCTAAATTGCTATACGCCAGGGCGCTTGTACGGGGCACTTTGGACCAGTGTTTGGCCTTTGATGTGGAGAACTTCAAAACGCCGCTGCCGGCACTTCTTGGGCTGGGGAACTACCCCTTGGAGGGGAATCTCGCGGAAGGCGTGGTGATACGGCACTGCAAGCGCGGCGACCCCGCGCTGGAGGCCCGAAACGTCTCCACGATTATCAAACTCCGCTGCTCCAGTTTTATGGAGCTCAAACACCCTGGGAAGCAGGAGGAGCTGAAAACCACCTTCTTTAATACCGTGCGCGCGGGGGCGCTGCAGCGGACCAAAGGCAACCTCACGGTGATCCTGGAGTCCATGCTCCCTCAGGTCGAGGCCGCGGCGAATGAGCTATTGCTCAACCACGTCAGCGAGGGCAGGCTCAACAATGTTTTCTCCAAAATCGGCCGTGATACGCTTCTTAGAGGCGACGTGACGTCGGACGGCCTGGCCGTGATGCTCGCCAAGGATGCGGTAAAGGATTTTCTGAAGGTATGTGATGAGCTGGTGCTGAATACGTCCCTGGAATTTCGAAAGACCCTCATCCAAAGCGCCTACTGGGCCGCGAAGGAATTAGTCGAGAGCAACTGGAAATCGCTCCTGTATCCTGAAGGCAGCGAGGTGGAAACGGAGGACTATCATGGGGAGTGACGTTCCCGCACAGCGGAGAGACTGTGTAGAAAAAAAATCAGGAGTGTTTTTGCTTGGTAAACGTAAGCGATGAAAAAGGAAAGAACAAAACTGACTTTAAAAAATGAGGTGTTTTTCAAGTGGTTGATGTTCTTTTTTTTTTTTTCACTGTAAAGAAGCACGGTGTATCGTTGCGAACAACTTATGTTACCGTTGGCTTTTTTTTTTTTTACATGCATCTATACAGAGGTCACTGCACGGAGGGCAGTGAAAAGATAAATGCCGAAAGCTTCATTTAGGCTTATTTATACGTAGTCATCTAAGCAAACAAATAAAATTTTAGCTCCTGATAATTGAGGGAATACTGTCACCTTGTATTTCCGTGCTTACTCCGTGCCATTGTGGGTTTAACTGCGGAGCTCCGAACAGCCACGCGGAAATGAAGTTCCGCCTAGTGCAACCCACTCAAGTTTCGGATAGGTCGGTGGAAAAGACACCCCCCGGGGAGCCCAGCAGTTTGCTAAGCGGGGAGGTGGGAAAGGCGCCATCCGTTTCCATGAGCCTGCCGATGCCATCCCAGCCCCATTCCACACCGAAAACCGGCAGTTTTGGTCTCCGGTTTGACCTGTTCTCCACGCTCAGCGCGGCGTCCTCCCTCCACGCGCCGCGGGGGGAGGAGGAGGATCTCCTGACGAGGGCCGTCCGCGCGCGCGTGGGCCACTTCCGCCAGGAGTTGCTCCTGGCGAAGGCCTTTTCGCATCACCAGGGCGGCCCGGACTTCGGCGGAGGGGGGCGTCCAAACTCGGAAGACGAAAGCCCCGGCAGGGCGCCCAACGCGGTGGTTCGTCTCGCCTGGCGGGTACTCGCGCACAAGGGAAGTCGGGATCACGCGAGCCCAGACGACGCCGCGGAGGCAGAATCCATCGATGTGGAGAGGCAAATGGCGGCCTGGATAAACGACGCGGCCGAACGGCAGCAGGTGAAAGACGCAATTCGATCCGATAAAGTAAAGCGCTCGGGCGGGGCCGGCCCTCTGGGGACAACGGCGAAGGAGGAAGGCAATGAGGAGGAAACGGCCTCGCCCGTGGAGGCGGTGATCCACCGTCAACTTCTCCACGACATCACATTAAACTTTGGCGACTACACTACGACGATGGGAGCGGTGGTGCAGGATATGGCAACGTTAGGGATGCATCTTATGGTCCCGCTTGAGATTCTGCGGAGTTCGAACCTCTGGATTTTCATCCACGAGGACGTTCACTACACCTTGCAGGATCAATTATTTCACTACCGATCGATGCGCAACTATCAGACGATGCCGGTTGAAGCGATCCGGCGTCTTTGGCGGGAGCTCTGGGAGGTGCTTTTGGCCGCGTGGCGCCAACGGGATCGGCTGTGGGATGCCCCCAACGGCCTCGATGATGGTTCTAATGAAGATAACAGCGCATTTGGTCCGATGACCACCTCCAGTATTGGGTTAGTCTTGGGGGAGCCCTTCCAGTCCGTCGCGCCGACGCGCCAGAGGGCGTTGTATGTTCTGCGCTCTCCGCTGGCCGCTCATCTGCGAGGCTTTCGCGCGCATTTCCCGACGAAGAGCTCTGAGACGGGGAATCCTGTGGACGAATGCCCCTCGGATTTCCAGAATCGTGGTATCAAGACAACGTCTGCCCTTGAAGATAGTCCCTGTCATCTGGGGACTACCTCCGAGGAGGGTGCGCCGCTCTTTGATGTGAGCTACGATGATGTTGGGGCGGCCATGGTGGTGCCGTATTTATCACCCGAGTGCTATGTGGCGTCGCGCTCGCGGTACGTCAAGGCGGCGGCGGGCGAGTCGGCCGAAGTCCCGAACTACGTGCCCGTTATCCACCGATTCTCCGATGACGCGTGGAATGTGGCGGTGATTGTGATCGAGGCGGTGCTGTGCGGTTTCAACCCCTACGACCCGAGCCTCTGCCACCTTTCGCCGTCTTCCCTCGAGCCGGTCGCCGCGGATGGCGGGAAGCCGAGCCCGACGCACTCCATCTACGCGGATCTTGTCCTGTGCTTAGTCCAGCACCACGCCATCCCCCTGGCGGCCTCGCACAACTTTCTCTACGCCGCGTTGGAGGCCTTCGGCCGCGCCGTGGGCGGGTTTAATGGGCAGCCCCCACCCGTTGGGGCCCCCGCGGCCCAATCCTGGCCCCCACCCCCCGACCCCACGCGGCTTGCCGAGGAATGGCTGCGCTTCGTCGAGCGCCGCTACGGCGGGGACCTCCTCACGGGCCTCCTGCACGACGTCGTCTCCACGGGCCTGGGCTGGACTCGAACCGCGCGCTGGCGGGCCTTTCGCCGCCGCGCGATCGCGCCCGCCGGGCTGAACGCCCGGGCCGCCCGCACGGGGTCGCCCCCATGCCCGAATAGATTGAATAGTCAAGCGATGGAAGTGGCCGCGGGGGACTCGAGGCGGCTATCGGATAACGATAGGGCCGTCACCGGCGCGACGCCGAAGGACGCGAAAATGGCGTTCGACCCACCGCCGCCCTGCTGGCGTCCGGCCCATCATCGCGTCCTCCACCGTCTTCAACTTCCCCTGCTGCCCCTGATGCCCGAAGGGACCCCGCAGGCGGTCTGTTGTGGGCCGCCACGTACCGAAACGGAGAATCCCAGTCATACTAAGTGGTTTATCGGTGATGTGTGGAGCGCGCTTCTCGAGTGGCTGCGCGCGGCTGAGCTCGAAGCCTCCTCCCAGGATGGCGCCGAGAGCACGAGGACGGCGCAGGAGGGGGTTCGCTTTGGCTTGCTCACGCGACTCATTCGGCAAGGCATCCTCCACGAGTACGTCACGCGACCCGCCTCGGACGTCAAGTTGGGGAAGTCGGCCCAACCGCCCCTACCAACAGAAAAGGAAATCGAAAAGCGGGAGCGGAAAGCCGCGGGCGCGGAAACGGACTCCGATCCCGACCAACCACGGCCGAAAGCGAGCGCGCCTGCGAACCTGAACGATTTCATCGCCAACCACCCCTTCCTTCGCCAACTCGCGGAGCGCGGGCAGCTGCCGGCCTACGTGTCCGCCTCCTCGCCGCCCTTCATGCTGCCGACCCCCAGCGTCTTCCTCGGCGAAGGGGCGGTTCGCGCGCTGCTGCGCGGGCGGGGCGCGGAGGCGC